ACTTCACAGCTGTGCCTTGTCAGGCTTCATTTGGGGAAATTCTTGCCTTCTTGATGAGATTGGGACCATCAGTTGTGTTGCGCAGGAGTCAGGTTGGTACAAAGCTGACAGCTCTATTGGACAACTGTTAGAATTCAAATTATGGCAGGAAACAATCAGCTAAGTAAAGACAAACAACAGTCCATCATTACTTTAACGACTGAAGGTCAGTCAGTCAAGAAAACTTTGAATGTATCCCCAAGTGTAATTGTAAAATCAATCAAGTGCTACGACGAAATTGGCTCACATGAGAAACGGCCCGTGAAAGGAAGACCAAGAGTCCTCTATGCTGCTGAGTATACATTCATTCGAGTCACCAGCCTCAGAAATTGCAAGTTAACAGCACCTCAGGTTAGAGCCAAGATAAATACCACACAGAGTTCCAGTAGCAGACAAATCTCTACATCTACTGTTCAGAGCAGACTGTGCGAATCAAACAGCTGCTGAGAAATCACTTCTAAGGAAAAGCAACAGGCAGATGAGATTTGTTTGGGCCAAGAAACACAAGGAATGGACATTTGACCATTGGAAATCTGTGCTTTGGTCTGATGAGTCCAAATTTGAGCTCTTTGGTCCCACTCCCATAGAGTGAAGGCAAAAGGGCCAACAAGTGCTCAGCATCTCTGGGAACTCCTTCAAGACTGTTGGAACACCATTTCAGGTGACGACCTCATGAAGCTCATCGAGAGAATGCCAGGAATATGCAAAGCAGTGATCAAAGCAAATCATGGCTGTTTTGAAGAACCTAAAACATAAAACATGTTTTGAGTTATTTCACATTTCTTGGTTTACTTCATGATTCCATGTGTTCCTTTATAGTTTTGATGCCTTCAGTGACAATCTACAATATAAATAGTCATGAATATAAAGAAAAACCATTAAATGAGAAGGTGTGTCCAAATGTTTGACTGGTAATGTATATATTATATATCTTTTTTGTCTGCATGATTCATGACAAGCTCCTATATGTCTGTGTGCATGTGTGCGTGTCTGTGTGTGTTCCATTAACACCATGCACAAACTGTGTCTCTAGATCCAGCTGGATTTCTGAAACCAGAACAGTTATTTTTGTTTTTCAATTTGATATGTAATTGTGAAGCTAAATGTTAAATTGTGCCCTTTCTCACAATAAAAAAGAATAATTTCCCAAATTCCTAAACCTACAGTTAGAAAAACTCCAAAACCTTACAATCACATAATGTTTTTGGCATAAGTAAAAAGATGACTTTATCAAATTTTGGGACTTTGGTAGAAATAATAAAAAGACAAAAAAAAGTGGGGGGAAAGAGTGAAAGAAGAAATCATGTGTGGAAAAATTGTGCACACTGACTTTTTTCTGTTCTTCTTACAACAAAGAATTAAGTATCATTTAAATCATAAATATGTCTTTGCTTTTGTTTGCAAAATTCATAAAAAGCTTGTGTGGGATGTGGTGAAGTCTGGTGAGCAGTTCCACATTAAAGCAAACGGACATAATTCCCAGGGAGCTCAGAGCAGAGAGGCAACAGTCCTGCAGAAACAAAAGGAAAACTATGTTTAAAGGCAGCAGTACAACACTAATGAATCTAAAAATATCTCTGTGTTTTTAAATGTGAATAGTCTTACTGAAAGAGGGATCCAGTCAGCTCATCAACAAAACCACCTACAAAATTTAAGTCAAACCAAAGTTAATGAAATCTGTGAACACACAACAGTACACCCACAGAATCACAACTAGCACTTACCCGGTGTGCAAACTGTGTCACAAAGAATGGGACAAATGTAGCAGGTTGAACAACCCTGGAAAACAAAACAAACAAAACCGATTAACGCAAAGAGGCACAGGGCAAAATGAAGTGCTGTGTATTATTACAGCAGTTATAATCCTTTTTAAGTCAAGATGCTTACTTGGCAGTGCTCGCAGTGATCAGACTCATCTCCTTCCTCACACGGGCACTTGGCACAGTTATTAGAGCAATGCTACAAGATGGGAAGAAACCACAACGTAGAGTGATTAGTCGTGCATATGGTATATAGTCAGGGCAAATCGACAACACAGGACTTATAATGATGTGTGATTACTGGGTAGATTCACAAAAAGTCTGTTAATTCCATTACATGTTTTTGTTTGTTTTTTTTACCTCACAAATGGAGCAAACACTACACAACGATCCAGAGTGGAACTGTGGAGTGTCAGCAGCTCCCTTCTCTTCATCTGAGTCACCTTGGTTGTCCTTTGTGTCTTTACCTTCAGACTCATCTGTAAATGGTTCACAGAATCAGGAACTGTATTCTAATCATTTCAATTCAGTTTTATTTATACGTCCAAATCACAACAACAGTTGCCCAATGGTGCTTTATATTGTAAGGACCAGGGAAAACCCCAATAATCAGATGACCCTCTGTGAGCAAGTGCTTTGGTGACAGTGGACTGGAAAAAACTACCAGGAAGAAAATTGAGAGGTAGCTATAGTGATCGGTTGGGAGTGAGCGGAGGAAGACAGGACAAGACACGCTGTGGAATAGAGCCAACTGTATCTTGTAGAACATTAAATTGTCTAAATAAATATATGATTATAACCCTATATGTCTTGAAAATATTTTGCAGGAAATTCTTGCAAATTCATCCAAAATAAAATACAATTATATAAGTTTTACATAAGTATTCACAACCTTTGTTCAATACTAACACCTTTTGCAACAATTACTACAATAACTGCCAGTTCCTGCTACCAAAACCATCCCCACTGTCTGACACTACCACTGCCATGCTTCACTGTGATGGTATTGGCCAGGTGATGAGCAATGCCTAGTTTCCTCCAGACATGCTGTTTTCATCAGACCAGAAAATGTTGTTTCTCCTGGCCTGCAGGGGCCTTTGAACAAGTGAAAGACTGTGAATGCGTTCCTGGTTCACTGTATCAAAACCTAAGTATTCACATGGGTTTCCAAATTGTTGTGTTGGTGCTGATGATTTAAATTCATTTGGGAGTAATTTACAACTTCATTCATCACTTTTTCAGCCTTTTTGTAGTTAACCGCTGAGAGTACAGTGACTTTGGGCCTTTTGAGCCTCTGTACTAACACACAATCCAAAAAGACCTTTTCTAGTGAGTACTGATTACTGCCATTTATTCACAAGTTACGTGTCTAATGTTTAATTCTCCTTGATGCAATATTATGGCACAGATGGTCTCTTTTTTTGTATTATATTTTTGTCATAACATCATGTCGTTAGATTTGTATTGTTGATTGTCATTTATGCTTAGAAATATCTACTCATATATGCTTAGAGTGTTATAATCAATGTCATGTTGGTAGAGGTTTGATCCTTAATAGTCTGCAAAGGCTTGGTGTGCATTCCAGAGTGTTCAGGCATTCACACCCACATCCTGGGAGCATGGGAGAGGGCATACCTTCCCTTATTGTTTTATGGTAGGATAAACGTAGCTATGTCAGTTTTAGTCTAAGTACCTTTTGTTTAGATGAACTGCCAGACATCCAGACCGGCAGGTCTGGAAGTCATTTATGGGGTCACACACTGACTCCACACACATACACATACACAATGCACAGGCAAGGTACTCTTTGTGTGTATGTATACGTCATATGTTAATAAACCTATGTATATTCATGTAACCTCAATAAAAGAGCAATGTTACGGGGGAGCGGACGAGACCGACTGGGGTCAAGCGAAGGAACGGCGCTTGTCGTGGTTCTCTCCCTCATATATGAGTAACACGAAGAACTTTGCCTACTTGGTGTTTAATGCTTTTTGCTGTGTAGTTGAATTGTCCTTAACATTCCAGCAAATAGGTTTATGCTACAAACCTATCACATGTGACATGTTTGTTTTTACAAAATAGTCTAAGTAGATTTATTGTAAACAAAGCAAAAATTCCTACAGGTGCTGTTTTTCCATAATATCATTTGTTGTCATTTTTTTCAAGCATGAAGCAATGACTGAAATTTAAAAAAAAAATCCCTTTATAACACCCTCTTTTGGACAAATCTCAAAGTATTCAATGTTTGGTGCTTGTTTGAAGTCTCAAAAGCTACACTGGCCACTAGAAAATAGATGGTTTAGATACTGTTGCCTTCCTGCTATTGCACAGATAATCCAGTCCATTTTAGGACTGATATGTATGACAGTGTTCCTAAAGTAACCCTAGTAAGCCGAACAATGTCAGAGAGCTACTGTAGAGTACAGAGTCACTCACGGGGTTCCAAAAAATCTCATTATTTGTTGTAACTTTAAATACTGCACCATTTAGTATCTTGCTAACCCATTAATATGTTTCAAAATGTGTGCATGTTTTTTTGTTAAAGTGTGATTCACCATCTTCATCTTCAGAGTCATCCTCATCTACATCCTCTCCTTGAGTTTCTTCATCATCACCCTCTTGCCTTGCTTCCTTCTCATCGTCTTCCTCATTATTAGCTGGGACTTCCTCCTCCTCATCTGCATCTGCCTCCACCTCTTCCTCTTCATCCTCCTCTGCTGCATAATCTTCTTCAGATTCTACCTCTTCTGCATCATCCTCATCTGAAGCCTCACCTTCTTCATCCTCCTCTGCTTCATATTCTTC